GAAAAATCCATTGGGTGGGAGCGGGGGTGAGGATGGGAGTGGAACAGGTCTGCTGACCAGCAGAGGGCGACTCTGAGTTCTACCAAACACAAACAAGCAGCTTTCCTAAATATGCAACAACGTGGTTTTGATTAAATATATTATGGTTTACCCACACAATGGAATACTGTACAACCTTTTCAAAAAACGTTTTATGGCATGAGAAAATGTTTACAATATTCCGTTATAGTAAAAAGCAAGAGATCTTTTTCCGGTCAAATGCTACAACATGGACGAACCTTGAGGACATCATGCTAAGTGAAATAAGCCAGCCATAAAAGGACAATTACTGTATGATTCTATTTATGTGAGGTATTTAAAGTAGTTAGTCTCATAGAAACAGAAAGTAGAAAGGTGGTTTCCGAGGGCTGGGGGGAGGGAGAAATGGAGAGGAGTTGTTTAATGGGTATAAAGTTTCAGTTCTACAAGATGAAGAAGTTCTAGAGATCTGTTGCACAACAACGTGACTATAGTTAACGCTACTGAACTGTACACTTAAAAAACGGTGAGGACGGTAAAAAAATTTTTAAAAGCAAGAGATTGTCTTTAAACAACAGCAAACCCCCAAGATTCTCTGTTTATGCCTTCGGGTGCTAGAGATGCAACAGTGAATAGGAAGAAGTCTCGACCCAGATCTCAAGGAGTTTACACCCCAGTGGGGAGACCCGTTGATGGACAACGCACATGAGTCCGTGTGGAATTACAGAGAGAGTAAGTGCTCTGAGCATGTTAAATCAGAGCCTTGCTCTGGCCCAGGAGGCGAGGAGAGTGGCTAAGGGAACAGGAGGTGAGGCAGGGCCCCCAGGGCTGAGTCCTGTGGACAGGGAAGAGCTCACTAGCAGGTGGGGACAGAGAGGGCGTGCCCTCTGGAGGGAGAGAACCGGTGCATCCTTTTCTGAGTGTCTGGAAGGACACATGCCCCTCCCCTCACCAGCAGTTCCCTCCAAGTCGTGGGGTTGTCCTGGTGCCCTATCTTCCTCCTGCACGTCCCTATTGTTCAACTTTCCATGGTGAGCTTGGATGATTTTGCAGTAAGGAAAAGGCGTAAAAAACCTCCCTTAGCGCACAGATGGACAGCAGCGCTCTTTATTTATTTATGCTCCTCTTTGTTTCAAAGACGATTGCACGCTGCTTACAATTATGTTAACAGTATAGTAGGCTAAAATACCTTGTCACTAAGTAAGAAAAATGAGGCAAAGGAAAAATATGGCTAAAAGAGCCGGAGAAAGGAGCAAGGTATCTATTCACTCACGAGGAGCCATCCTGTTGCGCACCTCGTCAGGTCTCCTCTTGCCGTTTAATTCAAATATTGACATTTGATTGTCCTGCTTTTATACTTTGTATTCTTAACTCTATTGAAAAATCTTTCATTGTGATTTCCTCTGCCCTTTATTATTCTCTTTCTCTTAAAATATATCTTTTTGTTTTTTCTGTTGTGCCTTTTTGCAGTTTTAAAAATCCATCCTTCCTTCCCCCCCAGGGGAGGGTCCGCATCTGATCCAGCTCAGGCCAGCGACATAATCAGAGTCACCGCACAGAAGGTCCTCAAATGTCTGTGAACGAATGGCTTAGCCAGGACTGAGGGCGACTCACATCCACACCAGGCGGCACTCAGGCAGTGACACACGCTCAGCAGGGCTCAGGACACGCTTGCCAATTTGATTTATGGGACTTATTACCCCAAGTAGTGGCAGAGAATAGATATTGATTCAGAAGAGTTTAAATAAATAAGTGGACGCGCAATCCAGAAAGGGCTATAGACCGAGGAGAGGGGGTTTGTAAAGCAGCTGAAGCAGACGTCATAAAGAAACACTGGTCCTCTTGAAAATCGCTTAGGGGAGTCATGGAGGAAGGGATGGGCTGTGGAGTCAGCAAGCACAGGCTCGCATCCAGGCTCCATCACTTCACATGCCAGGGGAATGACCTTGGGCAAATAACAGACACAAGAATCCTCTCGTGAGGATTGCTGAGAGGAATGCATATGTGTATGTATCTCTGTATGTGTATGCGTATGTGTGTCTATGCATATGAGTGCATGTGCATGCATATATATGTATATGTGTATATGTGTATGCATATATGTGCGTTTACGTATGTGTGTGCATACGTGTATATGCATAAGTATATGTGAATGTACATGCATACGCGTGTATGTGTCCACATATGCACATGTGAGTGCATATATGTGTATATGCATATGTGTACGTGTGTATGCATATGCAGGTACATATGTATATCTGTGTTATGTGTATGTATATGTGTATGTGTGTTTGCATGTATATACATATGTGTATGTGTGTATATATGTACATGTATTTGCATATGCATGTGGCTCATGCCCTGGCACATAGTAGAGGCTTGCTAAATGAAAACGCCCTCCTCTAGCGCTGTCCTTCTATTCCATTTGTGCAGCAGTGAGCCACCTGGTATGAGAGCATATAAAGCAATTCTAAAGCTTCCCCACAACACTTCATATAGTAATCTCAGGCTTTTTCATTCCCACTGGTTCAATACTGCCACTATCATGAGCAACAAATACAGTTTCCCTTTTAAATCACTTATGATGTGTTCCAGTTTCTATGGCTGCATAACAAATTTCCCCAGAACATAGTGGCATAAAACAACCATTTAATTTGCTCATGGATTTTGTGGATGGGGAATTCGGAGAGAGCAGAGAGGGAGTGGCTGGTCTCTGCTCCATGATGTCTCAGGCCTCAGCTGGGGGACTTGAAGGCTGGGGGCTGGAATCATCCGCAGGAGCCTTCACTCACACGTCCCGTGGGCGATGCTGATTGCTGGCTGAGAACTGAGCTGGGCTGTCAGCTGGAACACCTATGCGTGACCTCTCAGCTTCTACACAATATGGTGGCTGGTCCAAGGGAAGTGTCCTGAGAAAGAGTGCCCCGTGGAAGCTGTATCGCTCTTTATGACCTAGCCTTGGAGATCACACAGTGTCACTTCCACCGCATTCTACCAGCAAGGCAGTTACAAAGCTCTGTCCAGGTTGAAGGGGAGAGATCATAGATGCCCCCTCCTATGGAAGAGTGTTGATGTCACATTGAAGGAACTGCACGTGGGATGGGAGGCGTGTTGGTGTGGCTATCTTTGGAAAATACCATCTGCCACATTTTGTGTCAAGTAGTTTAGGTGACCTCTTCTTCCTCACAAAACACTGAGGGTCTAGGTATAATTATCTCTGTTCTAGAGATGGACAAACTGAGGCTCAGGGGGGCAAAGTAACTTGCCTTGGGCAATTTATTTAACCTCTCTGAACCTGAGTTACTCTCTCTATAAAATGGGTAGAAAAATCTCTACTTGAATGGATTGATGTGAACCTGTGGTGCTCATTCCTTGTGGGGTTGTTGGGAGTTTGAATAGGGGGAGGTATTTTGTGATTGCGAACACCCTGGGCTAATGCAAAGCACCAATCTTTATGGTCATAGCATCATTATTTCCTTGCCCTCCACCTACAACCACCTGTCACACATAACCCCACTGCCAGCCAGGGACCTGGGTTTTTATTCACATGCCTTCAAGAGCAGGGCTTGTCAAAGAGATTGGCGGCGGCTCACTTCGGTGCAGCAGGAGAGCCCACAGCCCCGCTTCCCTGTGTGTTCCCATCTTCTAAGAGGAAAAGAACCTTGGGAAGAATGCCAATGTTTGTTTATAAATTCCAAATTGTAATCCTTAATAACTCATTTAGTCGATTATTAGCAAATAGCCCTTTGGTCATACTTAAAAACAGCTGGCTGCTGCACTGTGCATCTCTGCCTGGGGGGAGCAGGAGGAAGGACCGGTGTTTTTGCGGTAGTTCCTGGGCCCCAGGAGGACTCTTCTGGCTCCTGAATGGACCAAGGACCATCTTGGAAAATCACTCCTCTGGGGATTCATTCCAAGCCCTGTGTCCCTCATCGTCCATCTGCCTGTGAGGCCTAAGGCTGGCCTTATGAGATCCCTCCTTTGCTATGAGGCCCATTAAACAGACCGTTTACTCTCCTGTTAGTATGATTCAATTAGAAAAGGTGGGCAGAGGGGACTAAGTGCTGGAGTGTCGAGGAGGCCCGGATGCCTGGTGTGTGGGGCTGGCTGCCTCATTGCAACAAGAGTGCGGGAGGTGGTGGAATTCCTTCAGCAGGCGTGGCCGGGCTGCATCCACCTCCCTGGGGACGGGGGGCGCTCGGGGTGACCTCCAGAACCTCAGGTGGTGGGTTACTGTGTAACGGAGGTGAGCTTTTGTGTCTTAGAGAAGCACCAGGCTCAGGGAGACAGCCGGGCATGGCGATGCGGCCCCGGCCCTTACAGCAGGGTAACCAGGACCGGTTACTTAAGGCCTCTGAGCCTCAGTTTCAATTTCCTCACCTGGCCATTGGGTAAAGAGAGGGGTAGAGACAGGCCAACTGCCAGCATCACGCCTCACACCTAGGAGAGGCCCAATACGTGGGGTTTATTTTTGTTGCTGATTTTTAATCCTGACAACAACCACTTTATAGATGAGGAAACAGTGGGAGATCTAGAAGTATGTTTTTACCTGCAAATGCTAATGTTCACTTGTCTTATTGGTAGGAACAAGTCTCTGCGTATGAGCCCAAACCGCACTTGGACGGCTTCCGGCTGCTGGAGGCAGCTGCGGAGCTCTCACTGCTCCCGGCGTCTGCTTGTTGGCCTTCAGAAGGTGGGTTTCTCTTCCCCTGCCCCAAATCTCCACCATCTCTAACCCTCATCACCGCTCAGAACAAAGTAAGTTTTAAAAATCCCAATAGCACAGACGAGAACACTGAGGCTCAGAGAGGTGCTGTGACCTGCTCAAGGTCACACAGCACGTAAGTGCCAAAGGCAGGAGAGGTTAGCTGCTCCAGTGAGGATATGCCAGACCCCAGAGACTGACAATCCCAACCCCTCAGGCTTCAACTCCTCCTCCTTCCCACATGTCAACTAAAGGAAAATCGTTTCCCATTTCTGGCATCTCTGCCAGCCCAGAGACACTGAGTGAAGAAGAAATGTTTCCAAATACACCAGGATGGTACATTTCCCAGCTTCTCAGTTTTGCTGTATGTTGTTGTTTGAAACCTGTTTCCCACGAGACTCTGGGAAATGCAGGTGCAGGGGCCTGGTAGCAGCTGCCATCCTCCGTACTCCGGGCTGGGTACCTGCTCTCCCGAGTTTTTGTCCCAGGCTGTGTGCTCAGACTTGACCATGTTTGGGCATGGAGGCTCGTCCCAGATGGAGACCAAAGGCCGCTTCCCTGGAGACTGGAGATGGGCTGGGAGCCCAAGCTTCCTGCTGGAGCTCAGGCAGCCTCTTTTGGGGTGGGGACTGGGGGCCAGGCAGAAAGAAAGTGTCTGCCTGCGGAAGACTCCAGGGCACCACCGGGGAGACCGTGAGTACTGCGCGAAGAGCACTTGGAAGTAGTTTCTCCGAAGACGGGCTGGAGGGGAGATCTTCGGGGAGGGAGGCCATAGTGGGAACTCCCTTCCTCTAGGGGCTGTGCATCAGGATTCGGGGCTCCAGAAGGGCTGATGTCAGTGTCACTCGGGACTAGAGATGCTGGAGTCTGGGCCCGTGGTCTGGTGGCCAGCTGGGAAGGGGCTCCATGGCCGGGTCGTTCTAGTAGCTCAGTGCTCAAGTCCTCAGGTCCCAGCTTCCAGAGCAGTCAGAGGGCAGCAGCCTAGAAATGAGGACCAGTCCTGGCACTTGTTACTGGGGGACAAAAATAGGCTCAAGAAGACCACTGGAGACTTCTGCTCCAAACTTTCAGGGTTCCCTTTGTTAATAGCACTCTCTAATATTTATCGAGGGTTTATGCTGGGCCAGGCACTGTGATAAATATGCCATATTTGATACATCATTTGATCTGTATCAGAACTCTCTGAAGCAGGTACTATTACTCTCCTCTTACAGTCATGTGTTTGTTAAGTGACAAAGCCAGGATTTGATCCCATGTCTGATGATTCAGAATCCCCCCTGCACCACACCCTGCCAAACCCTTAAACACTGTACTCTATGCTCTGCCCTTCTAAGGGAAAGGATGTCAATCCAAATACCAGGCAGGTCACATGGGACCCTCCAAAATCCTGCCTTCCTTCACCTTTCTCCATCTTTCCTAAATCCACCTCAGACCTTGAGTGACTTTTCTAAATGGGCAGATATATCCCAAAAGTCCAGAGATATTCAGCAACTCTCAAAACAGGGAAGTTCTTCTTGAAGTCTAACTGAAATCCCTCCTGTTATAGCTGCAGCCCATTTCTTCCTGTGCAGGTCTCAGGGGATATCAGCAGTTCCCACCCTTCCTCCTGTCTAAAGGCTCTCACTATCGATGTTGAACCCCAACTTCTCACTCAAATCCCTTGTCTAAATAGGACCCTTGGCATGATCTTAGGAGGATTTATCACGACTCTACAACGCACTCACTTCACTTGGTGTAGGCAACAACCTCACCAGAGCATTGCAAATGGGTGGGATCTGAACAAGCTGCATGTTCCAGACTTCTCTGTGACAGGGGAGCATCTACCCTCCTTTCCTCGTGAGTTCCCAGACCTGGTAACACCAGGGCCCTGCCTTCCCCAGTCTCGGGAGGGCCGGGGCTGGGAGGATACAAGAAGTTGTGCAGCAGAGGAGGCAGTGCCCCTGGGAGGTGGGGGCTGTTTAGCTTGGACGGTAGGAGATGCGCCAAGGGCAGCCCCCCAGGTATGCCCGGCTCTCCCAGGGGGGAGCTAGTTTTGTTGTGGGCACTCAGCCTACGTCCTCCAAGGCGGATTCTCTGTTGGCCCCAAGTAACTTGTGTTTCACGTCTCTGGGGTGAGGCCAGGCGCCAGTGACCCTTGGACAGCCCTGGGGAGGCAGGCCACTGGGGCTTTCTGCCCATCCCCAGTGGTCATGCTCCTTTCCTGTATATGTGTGGATGGGCTTGTTAAACTGGCACCAGGCAAACCTTGATGTGGGCTGTCCCATTCCCACAGATCCAAAGACAGAGGGAACAGGATGGAAAGGAACTGAACAGAACGTCCTTCTCGGCCAAGGGAAAATTTTGCTCCCTTGTGACGTTGTAATATCTCTGTTAGAATGTAGGGGAACCCCACTTCGCAGTGCCCCAAATGAGGGAGGAAAAATTGTCATTGGGTGTCATACCCACCAGTCATTTTGGAGGGACTCACAGGGTTGTGTCCTTGGTGCCTGACCCTGGACTCTCCTCTTTAGGACAGTGGCGGGGCTGGGCGGGTGTGTGTGTGTGTGTGTGTGTGTGTGTGTGAGGATCTCTGATTGGCCACTTGAAACCACGCAATAGTTAGGAGAGAAGCCTGAGTAGAAAATAAAGCCCTTTGCTGGAAATCCCTTTGGACTAATGTCTGTCTGCTGGACATTCACTAATTTATAAAAATAACGTGTTTATTATTTCAGGGACCTGGCAGGGAAAATCAAGTCCTTCCTGACAGCTGGTTAAAATTTCCCCTAAAACAGCATATTACAGAGAAAGAGCCCCGTGGCCCTGGTGTCTTTGGTAGAAACAGACTGTGGTTGCCTTAAACAAACCAACAAAAACAACCACAAAGAAATTTACTGGAAGTCTGTGGGGCAACTCATAGAACGGAGGGGAAACCCACACAAGGGACAGAGGCTGGGTAGTCCTGCAGCTCCTGGTGGCACACAGGTGGCAAAAGTCACACTCCTGGAAGGTGTCCAGTGTGCCCAGCAGGGGAGGCCAGGACTCTGCTTGCACTGGGGGAGGTAGATCCCCGTGAGAAAAGTGAGGGGCTGCTGCTGGAAGAAGGGGAGACAGGAAACTGACAGCTACTTCCCACTGTTCTGCTTTGGCCCGGGATGGCCCGAGCCCCCATATCAGAGAGCAGCTTCTGAAGCCACTTGGTGCCGTCCGCCCTCGCTTGAAGGGCGACGCGGCCCTTACAGGACCCTGACAGTGGAAACCTCCTGCCACCCGATGGCCACCTCCTGGTGGCCCTGCTGCCCTTCCCTGCAGGCTGCCCCGGCCCAGCCAGCCCTGCCGTGGGACCGTTTCAGCAGAACTGTGAAATGCCCCGAGTGTTTCTGAGACAAGTGTCCCAGGAGAGAGTGCACGATGTCCCACCTCTGCTGCTTACTATATTAGTGTATCTCACGGCATTAGTGTCCCATTGATGCTGTAACAAATCACCACACACTTGGTGGCCCCAAACAGCAGAAGTCTACTCACACACAGTTCTGGAAGCCAGAAGTCCAGAATCAGCGAGGTGTCGGCAGGGCTGAAATGAGTGCCAGCCTGTGGGGGATAATCCATTGATTCTTGCCTCCTCTGGCTTCTAGTGGCTGCCCGCACACTGTGGCTTGTGGCTGCATCACTCCGAACTCTGTCTCCCTGGTCAACTTCTCTTCTGTGTCTAATCTCCCTCTGCCTCCCTCTTATAAGGACCCTTGTGATTACATTTAGGGTCAACATGGATAATCCAGGATAATCTCCCTGTCTCAAGATCCTTAACTTAAAGTCTTTGCCTAACATTCACAGATTCCAGGGCTGAGAACATGGACATCTTGGGGGCCATTATTGAGCCTGTCACACCCTGTGTGACCTTGGGCAAGTCACTTTATCTCTCTGAGCCACAGATTCTTGATCTGCAGAATGGGGATGGTAATACTCGCCTCTCAGAGCTGGTGGGAGGCTTACACAGGGTCAAAGACGCCCTCTGCAGTTGCAAAGCTCTAGATAAAAATAGGTGTGATGTTAGTATTTGAGCGCCCTCCCCTCTCACCTGCCCTTCCTTCTGTGGATTACCTGTCACCTGTGCTGATCTCACGTCTGTTTGCCTCTGTGGCTCTAGAAATGACTGCTGTCCCCAGTGGACATGGGGAAGAAGCTGGTGATGGCCCAGAAGCGGGGAGAGACCCGAGCCCTCTGCCTGGGCGTGGCCATGGTGGTGTGCGCTGTCATCACCTACTACATCCTGGGCACCACCGTGCTGCCCCTGTACCAGAAAAGGTACCAAGCCCTCCGGCCTGCGCATCTCCCAGCCACCCCCCAAAGGGTCTGGTCTGTGAGCAACCCCAGCTCTCTTCCTACCCCTCCCCTTGACCCCCACACCAGGCAGGAGAGTCTAGACAGTTTTCATTCTTGGCGTCAAGGGTTCAAGTACAGGGAGGGTTGGCTGGACTGGGCCCTGCTGGTCTGGGATTCTGGGACTTGGGGGTAACAGACGTACGAGGCCCTTATCACAAGAAACAGCAAAGGATCAGAGCCAACGCTCCAGTGTGAGCTTGATCCCGGGAGGAATCTGAGTCATGCAATTTTGTAGTTCCTCTGTACAGTTTGACTCCACCTCTGAAACTTCCCAGTCAGGTGAGCTTCTAGCCTCCTGTTGAATATCTCAAGTGATGGAGAGCTCACTACCTCTCTGTACACACCACTTTATTTTTGGGCTTTTCCGATAAGTAGGAAGTATCTGCATTGAGCCAAAATCTGCTCCCCTGGAGCTCTGCTCTGGAATCTCAGAGAATGTTCCATGCCCTTGCTGCCTGACATGTCAACCACTTGAGCTTTTAAAGGAAAAGTGTGAAGGTCCTGGTCTGTGATCTATTGGGAACAAACACACTCAGTTCTCTCAGTTGGTTCTTAGGATAAGTCTCAGCCCCCTTGCCTCTGGGCACATTCCAGCTACTGACAGCCCTTCTGTCTGGCAAGTGTCTCCCACCTGATAAACGGGGGATGGGTCACAACTGATCACTTATGTGTTGATAAGCCTGTTCGCCTCTCCTGGGCCTGCTACCGCCTTACTTTTTACAACACTGGAGCGATTCCAGGCTGGAATCTTACCCAAGTGAGTCACCGCTCAGAGCAGCCGTGTGCCTCCAACAAATTATCTCTAGGTTGGTGCCATCCCCACCATCTTCCCCACTCTGGCACAAATTAAGCCCCTCCCACGCCTATTCTTTTTAGGGGAAAGTGCACAGATTCTGAAGCCGCTTAGACCTGGCTTCAGGTCCTGTGTGGCCTTGGAAAAGTCGCTTTACCTTTCTGAGCTTCTCTTCCCCCCTCTGCAAGATAAAGATGATGTGGGTAAGGGGTCTATGCCCGGCCGCTCATCAGAATCACTACGGGGGCTTTTTAAAACGTACCAGGGCCTGGGCCCCAACCTTCTTGGAAATTCTGATTCCAAGTCTGGAGTGTGGCTTGGATATGGGAAGCTTTTTAAAAGCTCCCCAGGGTTTTGGGTGAGCAGCCCAGGTGAGAACATTTATATAGATGATGGCTAAGCCCTTTCTAAAGCGGTTCAAACCAGGTGCTCTGTGCCACCCAGGTTCTGAGACGTGTGTGTATGTGCATGATCTCCCCAGCGTGTGGACGCAGGAATCCACGTGCTCCCTGATTGACACCAACATCAGGGACCAGGAGGAGCTGGAGGGCAAGAAGGTGCCCCAGTACCCATGCCTGTGGGTCAACGTGTCAGCCGTGGGCCGGTGGGCTGTGCTGTACCACACAGAGGACACCCGGGACCAGAACCAGCAGGTACTGACTGGGGGGATGGGTACACGCCTCCTTACCCCTGGAAGGTGTGTGGGCCTATCCCTAACTGGGTCCCTATCTCCGCTCTGGAGGGCAGAGGCTAAGAAAGATGAACCAGCTGACCAGGGTCCATCGCTGGCATGAGGTCTGGCCAGACTTAGCTCTTCAAGGTTGGAGTCAGACAGACCTGGGTTTGAATTCCTGCTCTGCCACTAACTGCTGTGTGGCCTGGGGCAGGCCACACAGCCTGTCTATAAGCCTCAGTTTCCCACTGTGTTGAAGTGCTGTGGTGAAATCAGAGACTGTATACAATGCACCAGTCTTGATGTCGGGTGGACGATGAGCACTCAAAAAGAAGCACTTGTTGGTGTCATTACTTCTTTCTATAAACTGAGTCAAATGAGAGGCCAGACCCAGAGCTGACCCCACAGAGGGGAACACTGTGACCCCCAGGAACCCAGGCACCAGGCTGCAGCAACCTCTGGAGGCCACCACTGAGGGATTTTCTTGTCACTGCCTCCCAGCGCCCACTCCCCGAGCCCACCATCGTTGCCCCTCCTGTGGGAAATACAAGTCGGCCCAGAGTCATTCACTCATTCACTCACTCATTCATTTGACAGTCATTGAGCACTTTGTGTCTCAGGGGCTTAGGACCCAAGAGGAGAGAGCTCATACGTGAAATAATACCGGTGGGGAGGATGGTGCCGTAGAGAGGAGCAGGGAAAGTTGTTGGGTTAAAGTAGGGAGCAACGTTTTCCAGCCAACAGTGAGGTGAGGGTGTCAGAAAGGCATTTGGATTAGGCTTTAAAATCAGGTGCTGGGTACACAGAGACCCGGAGCGGGCATCTGTATCGAGGGTAGGGGGTGTGGAACAGGCACGGCGGAGGGAAGGCCGGGTAGAGACAGGGATTTGGAGACCTGCTGCAGAAGCTGACACACGATGGAGCGCAGCAGGGAAAGGCTGCAGAGGTGGACTGAGGTCTGTTCCCAGAAGACCTCCATGCTACCAATCTGTGCAATTAAAATGCTTTTTTGTGGCTATTTTTTAGTTTTTTGAGAGAAGCAAAACTTTAATGAAGAATGCTACAAGTTATGAATAATAATTAGTTTCCATATTTTAAAAAAGATTACAGAAAACACTTCACTGAATTTTTTTGCTAAAAAGACAGTCTTTAAGGATGTCTGGGAGAGACAGCAACATAGTGAGAAAGGAGAAGGGATGTTGAATTCCAGCGCAAGACACTAATGCAGCACACCTAGGGACACAGGGGAAGCAACTATTCTACAAATTCTACAAAGAACAGAGTTAGGCATTTATATTCAATCAGGATTTTTCTTTTAAGCTTTAAAAGTTCAGCATAAGGAAGGGAATTGCGGGAAGGGCTAAGCTTATCTACAATCACCATTTTACCCCAAAACACGCTAGTTCAACCACAGGAGATGTGGAGGTTAATCCTGCTTATACAGCAAGTACGAAGAGCAAACGCCAGGAGAGTCAGGTCTCTGATTCCACAAGGACTGGTTTCGTCAACCTGGGCTCATGACGGACAAGTTCCTCTGCATTTGCACCAGAAGGCCAGAGATTTCCCTGGAGCAAGTTCACTCCAAGTAATGCTCACGGTACTGGTTTTAACAGGGAGTGGAGTTGTAAGTGCCCCCTAACTGACTCCACCATTTCCTAGAATGTTCTACTGATTACTGGGGATTTAAATTCCAGCAAACCCTAAAGAAGGGAAATACTAAAGATACTCTGACGCTGTGCAAGCTGTGTGCCTGTCATCTCTGCCAAGAACTACTGAACTATGGAATTAACACACGATAGGAAAGCTGGGGCTCCTCACTCTGGCTGTGCACTAGAACCCACGGGGGACTTAAAACCAGGGGCCGACACCAGACCACCTGAGGCCGAATCAGCTGGGCTCTCCAGGTGATTCTACGATTGAGAATTATTGCAGTGAGCAGCTGGGAGTCTTTAAAGGGTGTGGGGTCCTGGGAGCATGATCGACCGGTGCAGAGGAGTGTGGGGTTCAGTCACTGGACAGAGAGGCGGGGTCCCAGCAAACCCCCAGAGGGAAATTGGGCCTGCAGCAGAGATGGGTGCTGGCAGTCAGAATTGGGCGACTGAGGAGATGGGAAGGGGCAGGTGCCTGTGGGGAAAGTGGGATCATTGACAGTGTGGGGGGTCATGGAGGCGTGGGTCTGGACAGCTCAAGGTGGTCAGACCTGTTCTGTCACCACTAGCATGACTCAGCCCCACCAGATGGAGATAGAGCCTCCAAACCCCTCTTCAGTGACCACTGGTGTGATGGGGATCGGAGCGGGCTGGCTTATAGGCTGTCTCCCTGATCCTGAGGTTGCCAGCTCAGAGGACAGGAGGCCAGACCTTCCCCTGAAATGAGCTGTCCGCAGCACGTGAGACATGCCTCTATCTGGCCCTGGAGGGACAGTGCTGGCTGGTAACTACCAGCTGTTCTATCTTCTCTCCCATAGCACCACGGCATCACCAGAGCAGTGCTGAGGACAGTGTACCGCTCTGGTGGGACGGTGGAAGTGCCCTTCATGTTTCTGCCAAGCAGCTGGGTGGGTAGGCCAGCTGCCCCTCTGCCTTCATTCAGCTCTGGGGTACAGCGAGCCAGTGCTCCTGCTGGCCGGGTGTCCTCTGGATTCACGTGTGAAAGTCTAGGCAAGGTTATCTCCCCACCCGTACTCTGAGGCAGGGGGCCACGGTCCCCCACAGTCTCAGATTCTCCCATGAGCCTTAGCCTGAGGGAGTTCTAGGCCCCTTCCCATGGTCTGTCCTGAAGACAGTGATGCCACAGGGCTTGCGGGAGATGTTGGGTCATTTCAGATCTTTCAGATGACTGCAGGTAGCTGGATCCAGGGCAGAGGAGAGAGGAGGCAAGCAGGCTCCAGGCCTCTGGGCTTGGCCCTGCGGAGTGAACTCCTGTCCAGTGTCTCACCAAATAGGTCAGCTGAAAGGATCCTGAGTAACCTCAGCTGGCAAAATATGCAGTGGGGCCCAGGGTGGGGACAAGCCCCCACCTCAGAGCTTGTCCATGGGCCCCTCTTTAAGAAGGGAAAGAAAGAACTGTTGTTGCAATTTCATAGCTAAGTCACAATATTGTTATTATTAATGGTAATAGCATCTCCCGTTTTTTGAGCACCTAGTATGCGCTGGGCTCTGTGCTAAGTGCTTCACATGCATCATCTCTTCTAATCCCCATGACGATTCAACTAGGCAGTCACTCTCCCAAATCCGTTCTACAAGGCTCAGCCAGGTTGTGGCACTTGCCGAGGTCACACAACTTGGAACTGGTGGTTGAACCCAGGCCTGTCTGACTCCATAGCCACATCTTTGCTCAATGGGTTAGTTCACCCAAGGTCACAGTCAGAGGCAGTGGAGAAACTTGGGCTATGCCCACTCAGCTCAGGATTCTGAATCCACCTGCTCCTGGGATCCTGCAGTGCCCAACAGCTCTGAATGCCAGATTTCTCAGGATCCAGCTTCTCCCCAGCCTCAGCTGCTTCCTGGCTGGGGACCTACTTCTGCATGCAGCTCCCCCACTTCTCAGGCTGTCAGAACTGTGATGCAACCATCCTTTGGTCTGCTGGACTGAGAGCTGGACTGACAACTTTGGGGGCGGGGCCTCATTCAAATCCAGGGAGTAGCTGAGGCCTGGGGAGAAGCTGACTCAACACATTTACACATTTTAATCTTGGGCATGATGCCCTAGACCAGTGGTCTCAAACTTGCATACATGAAGGAATCACCTGATTGCCGGGCCCCACCCTCAGCGATTCAGAGTGAGTAGAACCTGTGCTTATGGGCAGCCCTCCAGGTAGTCTCTGCAGGTGCTGTGGGGGACCACACTTGCAGGACATCTCTCAGGGGCCCACATAAACAACATTCAGACCTCCCAGCACAGAACAGAGATAGAACCAGGGTCTCCACTTTGTGCCTTCTCTGCAGATCTTTCCAGCTGGACCTCATCTGACCAGGCCAGAAGGTTCCTAATAACAATGATCAGTGTCAGAATTAAAGGTGTACTGGGCTCTGCCTGCACAAAGCTCTGTTAAATGCATTTTCTCTTTCCGTTGAATCCCAGTGTCAAATACCGGCTTGCCAACATCTTTTGTGTGGTTCACACAGGGTAAGATCTCAGAGGGTTTTCAATCAGAATTTTTGCCAATATTTTTAAATCGTCAGAGTTCACTTTAAAATCTGGTTTTCGGGCTTCTCTTGAAATGTTGAAGGTCTGGCTACAGTAGGTCTTCTGGATCCCACGGTGTCCACTGTCCAGATGAGCGATCACTGCCAGTCTGGATGCGTCTGGCTCTCTCCATTTTCCCAGGCCCCACCACTCCCTTGCAGTTCTCCCCGGCACCAAGACAAGGGTCGGCTGGCACCTCTCATCTTATTCCCTTGCCTGCTTCACTCTGGATGTTACCTACAGGAGCCCTGTAGGTAACTGAGCGTTGATCTCGGCCCTGAATCCTAATACAGAGCCTGTGTCACTCGTTGGTCTCCTTGGACAGTTGAGTTTGAAGTCCTTCTTTAATAATATCCTTTGAAAAACATATTGCTATTAACCCATTGAAGTGATGAAGATATCAAAGCTCAGAAACGGTAAGCAATTTGCCCAAGGTTCTACGGCCAATGAAACCAGAGTCGGGACTCCAGCTGGGGCCGCTGCCTCCAGGTGTGCAGCAGGCACCCTGAGGAGCTCCAGGACCACCATCCTACAAACGACACTGTGAAGGTGCCCTCTAGAACCGTGCAGCGCACAGCCAGCTCAGCTTTAGACAGAGTCCTGACTCGCACTCAGGGGCCTGACTCCAAAGCAGGCAGTTTTCTTTACTCCATACCAGGCCCTAAGAAACAGGGATTTCCAACCCCATGGGTGTTCTTGCCTCTCCCCCACAGTGCTCCTACATCCCAGGCAGCCTGGACAACTACCAGACGGCCCGCGCTGATGTGGAGAAGGTCAAAGCCAAATTCCATGAGCACCAGGTTTTTCACTGCTTCTCGACGACTCGGGAGAATGAGACCAGTGTCCTGTACCGGCGTCTCTATGGGCCCCAGACCCTCCTCTCCTTTCTCTTCTGGCCTACCTTCCTGCTGACTGGGGGCCTTCTCATTATCGCCATGGTCAAGATCAACCAGTCCCTCTCCATCCTGGCAGCCCAGAAGTAGACCCATCTACGCTGTTTACCTTTCCCAGGGCACCTATTAGAATAACCACTTAGAGTTAAGACCACGAAAAGTTACTGACCTCTGGCCCAACCACCTTATAAGTAACATAAGTGGTAGGTGCTCGCTACCCTGCTCTCTAACTCCTGCTCCCTCATGACCTGGGATGGAGGACTGCCCTTCCCCTGGCTCTTGCCCCGCCCTCCTCCCCCCCACCCCTTCTGGGATCTGTAAGTAATAAATCTCATGACTCTGCTTCCTTTGTGTGGGTGTATTGAAACTACACCTTCAATCAAAATGACCCCGCGGGTTTCACTTCCCCACAGTGGGAGCTCGAATGCAGAGGGAGCTACCAGTCGCCCCCGTGTGGGTGGCTTGTGCCTTCTCACTCGGCAGGTCATAATCTGTATATTCTTATTTCGGCTTGGCTTCTCAACACACTAGTGTATCCAGAGGCAGCTCTCTGCTCTTCCCACACCACATTCAAAGCTCTCCTCAGGTTCCATCAGATCCCCACCGGGGCCAGGAGGGGAGCTGTAGTTTTCCCAGTCCCCCTAGCTCTGGGTTCTCCCTTCCACAGATGGGTTAGTTTATGGGTTTCCACCTATCCACAGATGCTCTCCTGGATCTTCGTCATGTCAACTCAAACACAGAGCTCAACTTCTTCCTAGATTTCCCCCACTCTCCCTCCCCACTCATATAAAGCACATGTCATCAGCTGGCTTCCTTAAAGGCTTCAGGAGACGGGGAAGGGATGTGTGCAGAGGCAAAGCAAACAGCTCCCAACTGAACGGTGGACAGAGATGGTGATTCATTCCACGGCTTGCACCTTTGCCCTCAGTTGCAGAGTCAAGGGTGACTTAGAGAAACTTGAATCTCCCATGGTCTCCATCATCCCATACCAAGCTTCCCAGTTCCTGATATACATAAAACAAGAACAGGGGCTTGCTAGGCACATGTCTTCCCTCCCCACTCCCATGAGACTGTTGCATGAGCCCTCCTTTGTCAATTCTGGAGCCCTGCTATCTGATTCCCCTTTGATTTCTCATTTTCAAATACAAACTCACGTTCTCTGTGAGTCAGTAGTTCTTTAAAGATCATCTAGGGCTTCCCCACTTTCTAATCTGGTGCTTGAACCCTCCCTACAACATTCCTCGTTAGTAACAATATGCATCAACGTCTCTTGATGACTAACTCACTGTACTGGGAGGTAGCCACTTCCATTTTGGGATATGTTTAGCGAATCACTCCCCATACAAGAATCTGTCATCCATAACAGTAATGAGAGCTAACATTTGTTGAGCACCTGTGTGCTGGGATCTGGGCTAAGCTTTTACTTATACAGCTCATTTAACCCTAATAACATCCTTTAAGTTATTATTACTATCTCCATTTCATGGAAAAGGCACAGGTCAGAAGTTAGTAAACAGCAGAGCTGGTATCCAAACCTGGAGCATAACTTCTGACTCTACTCTCTAACCAGCGTGCATCCTCCCCTGAGTCTCGGCCCCAGGTCAAAAATGAAAAACGCCGTGCAGGGCAAGGTGGTCTTGAGAGCCTTTTGGATACCTCTACAAATCTTCCCACAGAGCCAGGCTCTCAAGCGGCTGCTCCCTGGAGCCACATCTTTGAAGAGTCAATAGATGTGGGGTGAGGCCCAAGCCTACGTATCGTAAAAAGCCCTGCACAGGTTCTGCTATGGGCACTGCCAAGACCGACAGGGGATGTGGTCAGCTACTATCTGCTTGACTGCACCATCGCCCAGCCCATGCCCATCAAATGCCCAGCGGGAATGCAGGCGTGGTATGGCCACAGCTGTCCCTGAACTGGTCACTCTATAAAAAAGCAGAATGGAAGAGAGGCTGGTCTGATGTGACTCTTTCTCAGGGATCTCACGCTTCCCAGTGACCTCTGCTTTTTTTCCCAAGTGTTCCCAAACCATTGGTTTAGTAGTCCACTTTAGAATTTGTTCAGGAGTTGACAGCATGCTCATTTATATATAGCTTTACAGTCTTCTTTCACTATCATTAATAAAAACTGGGCCAGGTGGCACCTTCTTGGTATTTAACTAATTTTTCTGTGACTTTGTTGGCCATGCAAGTAGTATTTCTAGAAACATCTTATATACATGTGTCTTTAAACATTATTTTATATGCCCTCTGTTGGTTCTCTCCAGCCCCCGGAATTAAAATTCCCTGAGCTGCAAGCCAGAACCTCATTGGTTTGGAGGAGCCAGAGCCTCCTGAGCTCCTGACCTCATGTGAGCCTCGTAGCCACTCTGGACCATCACACCTAGTCCTCAGATCTCATTCCCTGTGGGGAGATGGGAGCAACCCAAACAGACGTGGGTGTTTGCTCCAGGCAGACTCAGCCATCTGTTATTTTCACTCTTTCTCAGAATATGTTTTAAAGGCTTTTTTCCTCATTCTTATGATTTTTGGGATAAGTTTCAGCTCAGTATGAAATTCTCCTTGTGGCCCTAAACTATGTTTTCATATTTGTCTTTGGAGAGGGAACCTGTAAGGAGAAAAGCTCGGAAAAGCGAGAATCTGAATCTGGCTTGTCTATGACCTCAGGCGGTTTATTTAATCTCCCTGGGTCTCAATTTCCTCAATGGGAAAACGAGCACAACATCGTTTGTTTTATAGGGCGCTTGTGATGATTCAACACAATCGTGAACGTGAAGCGCTCAGCACAGTGCCTGGTACGTCAAAGATGTTGCATGAACGTTCATTCTCTCTCTGAGCAAAGGTGCCTCCTTCCTCCCATCAACAGATTCTTCTCTGTTTGAGCTCAGAGAACTTCCTCCCACCCCTTTTTCTCGCCAGTAACTTCCCACTTCTCTTTCTTGTGAGCATCACTGAGGATTATTTTGCTTCTCTCCCTCTCAACCCATTTCTAGCTATACTCTCTCTTAAAAATTTCTGCCACAGACACACTGCCTGACTTTGCTTTGAACCATTCTAAGTCTACTTGCATAAATTTAGTTCCTGAGAAAAAGCAGTACCTGCCCACAGGGGCCACACCCCTGCCCGGCTGAACCATGCAAGGGTCAGAGGACCAGTTTCCTTGAGAGTCCACTTCCTGGGAGAACCACCATCATTGAGAACATAGGTCTGGCCGGAATATTCCTCCCCTTGTGGGGCAGGCAGATCCCTCAGCCAAGAAATCAGCTTAATTGGAAATTAAGTTGCATTTCCATTCCAACTGCAGGATGCCTATATCCACAGCTAATTTATCAAGGCGATGCCTCATCTCCAGGAAGCCCGTGGGAAGAGAGTGCCCGCATCAGCAAAATGACAAGCTTCTATCTGATGAGAAGGACATTCTTTAAAGTGCAACTCAAACCCTTCAGGTTCCTCATTTTGGGTTTTGTGCACTTACCGGCTGCCTCCTCTGCACCAGGCACTGTGGTGGGACCTGGAGATATGGGGACCACAGGGCTGGCACCGTTCTAGCTGCTCCAGGGCCAGCAGCAGAAGGAGAATCACGCAAGCAAAACAGTCCCCAGTCCCAGCTCTTTACTTGGTCATCCAGGGCTGAGTAGCTCGGGAAAGTAGAGAGTATTACAGACAACTTCATGGCTAAGAATTTCTCTGTTTAACACTATACTAATAGATCACAATGATTGAAGTGTGCCAGGCTCCTCCCAAGCCCTTTACATACATTTATTCTATCCTCCAGGCAGCTGTAGGAAATATATACACTCTGCGTTTCATTATCTCCATTTTATTGATGAATAAACTGAGACCTGGTGAGTAAGTAACTTGCCTGAAGTCATTACCGCTCAGTGAATAGGCAGAACTATGATTTGAACTAAGGTCACTTCATGCAGAGCACATGTATTTAGACGCTCTATTATAAATCTCCTTTATCTCCCCCAACTTCTTATTTTGAAAGTGTCCAACTACAGAAAGGTTGCAAAATTAGTTCTAGGAACACAAACACCCTTCACCTTCATTCATATATTATCATCAATATTTTGCCATATATGCACTCTTCTCTCTCTCTGTCTGTCCCTCGTACATGTGAGTGTGTTTCTGAACCATTTGAGAGTTAGATTCAGGGACTTTAAACACAAGGCTGGTTTAGAAACCATGTGGGAACCAGTTTGGCTGGAGGAGAGTGTGCACATTGGCGGGGGTGACACGAGCAGTAAGTGGTCTGAGACCGTGGGGTGCAGCTGTGAGGGCAGGCCTAGCAGTCTGGGGTGTGCACTGATGTGGACAGGACAGGCAGTGACAAAGTGACAGTGAAAGCATGACTTTTATTGAAAGTATTGAGAAGAATTAAAAAATTGAAGATGTGTTTTCAACAAATGATATCTTTATGGTCTGATTAAACATACATGCCTGTTGAAGATGATGCAGACAATACAGATAAGAATCAAGAAGAACTTTAAAAAATAACCCTTGGGGACAGCCCTGTGGTGTAGTGGTTGAGTTTGGGCGCTCTCCGCTTCAGCAGCCCAGGTTCCTGGGTTTGCATCCCAGGTGCGGACCTACACCACTCATCAGCCATGCTGTGGCGGCAACCCACATACAAAGTAGAGGAAGATTGGCACAGATGTTAGCTCAGGGACAATCTTCCTCAAGCAAAAAAAGAGTAAGATTGGCAACAGGTGTTAGCTCAGGGCGAATCTTCCTCAGCAAAAAAAAAGAAAAAAACCCTTCACCCCAACTAACATTCATGCTAATATCTAATATTTCAGTTAATTTCTTTTATATTTTACTTTTTCTGTACACACGTCTATTCACAGGTTGGAACCTCATTGTACATAGAGTTTGTATCCAGCTTTTCCACCTAATAACATGTCAATAGCATTTCTGCATGTTATTAAGTAGTCTCCAAAATAATTTTTCAAAGGTTTAATATTATTCCATCAGATAAATGAACCAAAATTTATTTCATCCAGTGTTTTTTGACTGGTTAGATTTTCTTCAGATTTTCACTATTGTAATGTAATACCATGACGAATACCCCTGAACAAAAGTCTTTGTGCACATCTCTGATGATCTGCTCAGAACAGATTTCTAGAAGTTAGGCTCCTGGGTCAAAGGGTTGGATGGATGATCTCTTCGCCTGGCCACGGTTTGGAGG